GAATTCCCGTGTTTCAAATACTCAATAACACCCGGAAATTCGCCAACACATGATGTTTATCTCCTATTTGACAGTATTTCAAGTGTTTGGGGAACGAAAACATCCGTCCGAGTTCAGAAGAAGAAACCGCAATACAGGTATGCTGCTGTAACTGCTAGATCCTCAGAAGAAGTAGGGGAAGAGGAGCCCTACCTGTGAATCTGTGGTTAGTTTGTTGTTTAACCCCGCACGCAGCAATATTCCAGCTATAGGGCGGCTGTCTGTAAATAATGGAATCTGGACCAGACAATCCAATGGTCAACAGCATCAGCATCGATCTACGCAATTGGGAACTGATGACATGTGTCAACCAAGTGATTTGGGGGTTTTCAACATTAGGGGGGATGCCTGATACTCGAGATCAGGGTGTAATTTCACAGACTCACTGGTATATATACACTAAACGCCAAAAGAAACGTTACCCTCTTTCCTTAATGACGGAGGTACCAATCTTCAGCTGGCGTTGTGATGCGTGGACGTCCACTTCTTGGTCTGTTTACGGTGACTCCAGTCTGTCTGAAGCCCTGAATAAGTCTTATAACCGTGATACGGTGGCATCCGAGGGCGTTGGCAACAGCATTGTATGTCGACCCCATCTGCACCGACCCAATGGCTCTTTCTCTTCAGCTGTTAATCGTGGCATATTTCTCGTACTTGTGTATCATATCACGTATTCTAGGCTCTCTTCATACCCTATAGAATCATTCTACATGTGAAATGGATGTAAATACTGCTTGAATATTGCTGCGGTTTGGCGATTGATATTGCTATGGAATTGGAAAAATGTTACTTTGCACGCAAAGATAATTTTAGATGTTCCTAATTTTTTTTTCAAAATATCAAAGACACGTTTCACTTGTTTCCACTAATACAAATCAGCAGAAAATGTTTTAAAAGACTGAAATCACAGGCATGATTATTTTACAATTGTACACACTCTACAACAGTTGTTTCTTGTTTTAATAGTTGAAAATTGGTGATTTTAAACGGTTTATCATTGTCCCTAAGCAGAATTTTATCTCAACCTTTCTTTTGGACATCAAAATCACTGTTATTGTTGTATTTCGGCATGGGCGAATATAGGACAATTTAACTCTTCTGAAAAATGCATTTCGCCTAAATTTGAATGGATTTGAGAATTTTTTTTCGTCTTTTGCATAGAGCTGTGTTGTTAAGCTTTCTTGTAAACTAATACCTTCTAACATATCTTTGATAGTTTTTCAGTAATTTATAAAGGTAGGAGGGTAATGTTTCTTTTGGCGTTTAGTGTATTTGCACGTCTACCTCCGTTTCTGATTCTCTGAGTAACCTTGCCGTCAGACACACTCCCAGGAGCTTTGTCGACACCTAATTTAAGAACTTTATGTTTTATTAACAGATTTTCTTGAAAGATAATATATCTTTTTGAAAGAATACTAACGACAAAAAATCTCAGACGTCAACGAACTGTTCAGTGCATTTCTAGAAGCTGGGAATCAGGTAAGAATGTCCTGTGTTTAACATGGAGTTTCGTCGTTATTTAACAGTGAATGTTGTTTCATATGCTGTAGTTATGTAATGAGGACGTTTCAAAAACTCAACACGGCAACGATAAAATATACCTGGCAATGTCAATGCGCCTTGTTCTTTCAGCTGATGTCGATGTACCATTCGATGATCGTTTCTGGGGTTAAGTTTTACTTTTCTATCATATGTTTACCAATTTTATCAGTGTTCTTCAAAGTTGCAAAGTCAATTTATGTTGTACATGGAAACAAGGGGTCCCAAACTGACTGAAATGCTACTATCGTGTAAAAAACACATAACTACACATGAGCATATGCCACATGATCTTGTGGATGCTTGAAAAAGCAAACGGGTAACTGTAATATATTTTACTCAAAACAAAAACAAAACATAAAATAAAGTTTGATACTAGTCTGAGAGGGATATACAAAAAAGTAAATATCAATAATGTATGGTCACAATGATCATGCCACCAATCGGATTGTCACACAGTTCACAAACAATGGTTGGTGTGATTGTATGAACCACCACTGACAACATCTGTCAGCCTCCTCCTCACAATGGCAATCAAGCGTCGAATTATCAGCATTAGAATCCCCTGTCTTTCCTCATGAAGTGCCTGCGTCAATCCCAGCATATTTTTAGAGGGATGAAAGGATATGTTATGCTACTGGAACTAAGCGTCCAACATAGACCCAAAGATGAACCCGCAGGGTTCGTGTCGTGTCTCCTTGCAGGCAATGGTGATATGTCGATGATGATGCTCAGCAAAATTGGCAGTGAGGTCTAAAGCAGCCTTCACACGGCAAACTCAAGTTTGACAATACATGTTGTTAAAATTTTAAAAGTTGTCAAACTCGCGTTTTCACACGTCAAACACATGTTGTCTAAATTTCCTGTCATTTGAACATCATGTCTCTATCGGTGTGGTCACGTGACAAGTTGGTTGACTGCGATTGGTTGTTTCTGAACAACACGAGTTTGACAACACTTCACACGACAAACACGAGTTTGACAACACCAAAAATGTGATGGAAAAGTTGGTGAGAATAGAGACTGATCCAATTTTCGACAACAGTTTGACAACTCTGAAATTGGTGTTGGTGGCGAGTTGTTGGAATGTTCACACTCTCAAACTCCAGTTTGACATGTGTTGTCAAAACTTTAGTTTGCCGTGTGAAGGCCGCTAAACATTGTCAGCCATGAATATCGGACAACTTGCGGTGGGGTGGTTATGAAAATGTCACACGGTGACGGTGGGCAATACTTCTTGCTGATAGCGTTGACCATTCTGGAGGATGGCTCTGATTGTACTGGGTGTTGATTTGGACTCTCACTCTCCTGTGCCAAGGTTTCCGATATGGGTCATGGGATTCCGTCGTCAACGTCTTTAAGACATCGACCTTCATCAGGCAAATGAGCCCTACACAGTGTACTCAAATTACGTTTTGTTCGGAGCCTGCACCATGCCAGACGTTTATGTATGTTCTGTAAGGACGGGTGGTCTGATCGCAGTTTTTCAACATGGGATTGCATTTTGCCAGACAAATCACAGTCACTGGTTTTCGTCGATCATCCAGGTCTTGGGTGATCCTTAACTTCACTTCCTCACGAGTCGACAAATAGCCGTTAGCATCGATGTAGCGACAGGATGCGAATAACTTGCCATCATGTATTTTCTGAAAGTCTGCGTCCAGCCCTGTCAGGAAAAGATATGCTTAATACGACCGTCATTATAACGAGCAGAAAGTTATAGTGCACATACTGCAAGTATATAATGTATACCCCAATACTATTAGCACTTTCGCAGTATGTGAAAATGTGACCCATTGCTTTTTCCGATATTGGTTGAGCCACTGATTAATATGTGCATTCCATTATGCTAGGGTGATTGCCCGTTTGGATCAATCTCCAAAAACTGCCTTTTGATAACGGTGGTGCTTACTTGAATATCATGTGTATACAGGCAGTATATGACACACCTACGATAGAAATATTTTGACTGAAAAGGGACTTCCGTCCGTTATTAGTGCCAGTAACTTATGGTCGTCAATCTCCATGTTTCTAGGTTCGTCAATGAATCCGGCGATCGTGGATTTCACCAGAATTACACCAGCTCTACTTCAAGCGTTTCTCCACATCGAGCTGACTCGTTGGTATTGAACGTATACATTATTAAATATCTTCTTATGTGTTGATTCCCAATTTGAAACTAAATACTTAACCGGGAATGTGCCCGTAAGAAAACCATGTGTGAAACCACCAAATGTCGTGTAACTAAATATTGTATTTTAAAATTAACTAAGTTCACGAATCAATACAAAATCTGTGGCAGGACAAGTTCAGAGGCAGAATAATACACGAACATTGGTTATGGTAATAAAGACAATACGGCTTAATGTCTAATGCTGATAATATTCACATAACACCAACATTCGTTTCGTATGTGTTTCTTTAACGTCGCCCTTTAGCACTATTCCTGATTCATGGCGGCGGTCTGTAAGTAATCGAGTCTCGATCGGGCAATTCAGAGATCAACATCATGAGCATCGATCTGTCAACCAAGTCAGCGATCCTGACCACGCCTTTTGCGACAAGCATGGGTTGCTGAAGACCAGATCTAACCTGGATCTTCACGGATATTATCAGCAACAGCAATCCGACTTGTAACTATATGCAGGGTATATGATTATTAGGGCTGGGTATTGCAGAGAATTTTCATATTGCGATGCGAAAGCATATATTGCGATATGTATTGCAATATTGCAAGAAGTCCTTTTTTAACAAAAAGACTACTCATAATCGAGTTAATGCTTGATTTATAAAGCAAATCACAACAAAATCACCATGCTTGATTAAGCTTTAATAAAAACTTTTAAGCATGACAAAATAAAAATGTAATTAATATTTGGCACAAATAAAAAAAGGAAAGGAACAATTTATAAAACGGAAATATACGAAGATTTCCGAGTGTTACGAAGTTTTCCGAATGCATGTCAAAATACCGGTTTTCGATCAGCATATCGCAATACGTATCGTTTTCATGTCTGAACCGGTAAATACCGGTAACCGGTTATATTGCGCAGCCCTAATGATTATTACAGTCAGTGTTGATCTCCTGGTGGCTTTAGATGAACTGTGAGATGAGAGTCAACCATGCAGCCGCTCCCTTATATACAATGGAAAAAGTGTAGATATTTTGATTATGTTCTCTGCATCTGAGGAGGCTTCAACTATATTTGAGCACTCAGTCTACATACAGTACAGGTCTACATACAGTACAGATCTACATACAGTACAGGTCTACATACAGTACTGGTCTACATACAGTACAGGTCTACATACAGTACAGGTCTACATACAGTACAGGTCTACATACAGTACAGGTCTACATACAGCACATCACTGCCTCTTCCTGAATCCACAAGGACAAAGTATAACAGTTGAAACACTATTGCACAACGTATTACTCTGTCCCATAACAATATAGTTTACTTATAATAACAAAAGAAGCTCATTTTGAATATATAATTATTCAAACTTACTCAGCGACTCCACTTACATTTATGGCGCAAATATGTGATAGTTTACTCACAGGTTGGATGTAACTTGCTGTGGCAGCGCCTGACAGTCAAGTAAACAAGAAGTATTCTGCACAACATCACCATGTGCATCTGGTTTCAACTTATATCAGCAACAGTTACAATGGCAGTAAGCAGCACTTACCACATCCAACCGTTTGGGTTTCAAATGTGTCAAAACCTCTGCTACCAAATCAAGGGATGCTCCTTTTTGAAGTTTTCAAGTCTTCATCTTGACTGTGACATACCTGACAAAGGGCAGAAAAAGGAAATCGGCTTGAAATGTACAACCTGCTTCAACAAGACAAAGACATTGAAGGTATTTGTGTCACATCTTGATATTGCATTTTTGACGTTACATGGACTCATAGAATACCTCTTATGTACAAACAATGGGTACATATTTAGAACTCATTTTCTTGAATTTTGCTCTTTACGCCAAGACATACCAGGTTTGGGAGGCCTACTCTTAATTTTGATTTTGATTACGATTTCGAGTTCCAGTAACTTTGACACGAACAGCAAATACATCTTCTCAATATTTAATCTAACACGTGTATCTTGCCTAGACCATAAATGGAGAAAATGTTATGAAATTATGAATAATATTAGGAAAAAAACCACACTTTTCATATCGTTGCTACATTGTCTTTCCAGTCCCAAGCTCTGGCAATATAGTTTCAGTATGACGTCCTATCGTTGATCACTGGGGCTTGACGAGGGAATTTACAAATGTTGATGTATTGAATGAACTTATAGTTGAAGAAGGATAACAATATATGGATGAACAACTTCTTTATTGCAGTGAGAGAGTGCCGTTCCGGTGTAGGGCCGGTGTTCATTACTTGCTTGATAACGGTTTTAGAACCTACACCGGAACTCGCTCTCACTGCAATAAAGAAGTTGTTCATCCATATATTGTTATCCTTCCTTACTGCTCCAACTTCTAAATGCCTCCATGTCATCATTGTCCTGGAACAGTCACACGTTACAGTTTGCCCTTTCTAAATATAAACACACCAAATAACTATGTCTCATCAAGTATCTTGCTCCCATTTACATTCACAGGAAGAAACGTTCCCAGTGGGTGAATGTTCACAAGGTGAACGGATCATCACCACAAAAACCAAAGGCCGCCACTGTGTCAGACGTAAGTGGACAAAATAAATAGTAACAAAATATAGATCCTCATCAACTTAAATCAGGGGCTCCGTGACTTTTTAGTCATCGCATTTTAGTGCTGTATCTATGGTCATGCCAATCATGGATGGACCAGTCGGGGCTTAATGACAGCACCAATATAACTGGCATATTGCTGGATGCGGAGTTAAATAAAGAAAACCAGGTAATAATATGACAGTTAGAATATTGTAAGGGCACACATTAGTGGTACAAGTAAAGGAGGAACTATCAGTTACTGTCTATCTCAAGATGGGCGCTTATGACTAGGAATTGTTACGAGGACCGTTGCATCCATCTTGAATTCCTGATGTGCATTCTACATAGATAAGGATGTTGATTTAGCCGTCTGATGATCACAGACTGAAATACGTCACAGAGCCACAATGGTGTATTTTGGAATTATCTGTATCCGTGAACCGTATTTGCAGATAGATCAAGCGGTTTATGTAGTATCCATTTTGCTACGTGTAAATATCGTCCGACATGCAGGCATCTTGATATCTGGGTCCTGATACACAGGGTTCCAGTATAATGTATTGGTCACTGTACGTTGACTTCTGCCAGCTTCCTGTTTGGCAATAACCCTTAATCTCTCAGTTCCTCAACCGCAATATTTCCCATTTCATGAAGTCCTTTCTGCAAAGCTAAAACCAGTCTAGAATTTCTCAGTTAACTTTCAATTTAAATGGCTCTATATGTTTCCATTAAAACTACATATTTTCAGAGACTTTGCTACTGCGTATGTGAAAAGGAATAAAAAGAAGTCATCCATTAGACGTTATACGTATTCATGTTCGTCCAACTTCTAAATGCCTTTCAAGAACTTTAGGACTTATGCTGAAAGTGGTCATATCTGTTCCAGTGGGTGACATTTTGTGAGGAACTGGGGCTGGTCTTTCTGTTCTGGGAAAAGGAACAGCTTAAGCTGGCCATTTATTTTGCTCTTATTGCTGCTTTACATCCTTAGAGCTTGGTTAATCTTAACAACAAAACAAAACAGATATCGTTCTGATCGAAGTAAATGGGGAATTAGTTTGGTTTGTTTTTGGTAACTATATTGAACAGCAACAGAAACGCAAGTATGGCTTTTTGTCAAGTTTTAAAATAGAAGACAACCAAAATTATGTCTAAGCATTTATTCTATAAAAAAACACTGCCAACTTAACAGCTGAAAGTTGCAGTCGACATTTAATTGCAATAAGTTCAAATTGATCACAGTCCGTCAAATGGACATACCCCTGAACGCGACAAGTGACAGTCTCTTTAATAGCGTGTATGGCCACCTTGAGCTTGCACACAGACCGTGCAACGTCGCCTCATTGAGTTCACTAGAGTCTGAAAGTGGTTCCACTCAACACCAATCTCTGTTCCAACGGTGCAACTGTGAGTGGCTGTCTACATGCAGCAATCCTACGTCCAATTTCGTCAACGAATATTCAATGGGGGCCATATCCGGGAAAAGAGACGGCCATGGGAGAACGTTAATGATATTCTGAGCAAGATAATCCATCGATACCCTTGCTGTGTGAGGGCTGTAAACGTCGCTTGCGTTGTTGACGTGTCAAAATTGGCCCCACATATGGCCGTCGGCAGTGGATTCCAGCAGCCCGAAGACAACGCATAATCGTATCGCTGGACACTGCTCCCCTTGACCCATTGAACTAAAGCTGTTGTTACTGTTGCTGCTTAAGTTCGGTTCCTTAGATGAATGACACGGATGAACCGATCTTGCGCATGAATGTCACTCGTTGCCGTCCTGTACGGGGACTATCAGCAGCAATCCCGGTTTGCTGATGACGTTGAGCAAGTCGTGTAATGGTGGTAAGATGACAGCCCTATTGTGTAGCTACAGCGGTGGCAGAGCTACTTCGTCCAACATTCCAATGGCCATTCCCCCCTGCCCAGCCGTTAGGCTTGGCGTCGTGTGTGTGGCGTGTTGGAGAGGGGTGGTGTGTGGGATTTGGTTGGGGGGGTGACAACCATTATTGGCATGAGTATATAAACAAAATGTTCTTATGATATAGCACCTAAATGCATGGTTTGCCAATGGTTGCCAATGAGACATTGTTTAATACGCATCGGTTCGGGGAATTTGGAGTAAAATCCCAAATAGATCACATAAGTATTGGCTGAAAGATATGAAAAGGTGACACGGCTACGGCAGTGTTGTGGAAAATGCACGACAGGGAAATAGGAATAATAAATAATACTTTGTGTGTGTAGTATGTATTTTTGAATACTTATTCGCACGAATTTCACAGTAAGTTAATTATTTGACCCTATTTCGTTGATAGCTGTTTTCTCTTATTGTGAAATTCCTTTTTACACAAATTTCAAATGCCTCAGCAAGTGTATTTTCCTGCTTGATGAATGCTTGCATTATATCTAAAATGTATAGATTAAAACCTTTGTCTCTTGTCCGACTCAATTTTTAGATTGAAGAATGAGAAAGAAACTTGTTTTTACACGTTATCTAATTTTAGATTATTTTAATATGTGGAGCTATGCGATGTCACAACAATAAATACATTTGGCATGGCAGACTCTACGGCAACGGCATGATATGCCAAGGAAACCACTCCCATATTGCGTAAAAACTCAGATTAGCTGTCCTTGAGTTATTAAAAAGGTCACGGCCATTGCTAATCGCATGCAGACACCTTTCGTTACTATCCTTTCCTTGATTATCACACTTCTTCCTGGTAGGATAGTACTTTATGATATCGACTCGATAGTTATGTGGTTCACTTCTGCAAATAACGATGTTTCTGACGTTAAATCTCAGTGTTGTTGAACTGTCGAGGCGAACCATAGAGTTTTATGCAATATAAAAGCAATCTCCGAACGTAAAGCTGATTATTTGCGTGAAACAGACACTAACTTGATCGCCATTTTGTCACATACTACCATGATTTTAGCTCCTTACAATTGGTCCGGACCAATTGTAAGTTTCGATTGTAACTTACAATCGCTTTGTGCAAGTGGATGGCGATTGTAGCAGAAGCCTAAGATCTCGATCTTAAGGATTTATAATAATTGAGGCACTAAGATTGCTCTGTGCAATTGGGCCAGAGCAATCTTAGTTACAATCAATCTTAGGCCCCTACAATCGACTTTACAATCGCCATACAATTGCCCTAATCCACTTGCACAAAGCCGATCTTAGAGCGATTGTAAGACGCATGGATTTAAGATCGTGATCTTACCTAAGATTGAACTCTTCAGTGATGGAGGTAAGAAAACACATGAGTCACGCGTCATTGGCTACGATGAAGAGTTACCACCCTTATCTTATCGGCAGATGACACATTGTTGCAACTTGTGGAAATGTCAACAGAGAAGAGGACGCGCCGCAGTAAATTTACTGGACAAGAGCAATTCGTGCTGACGGATGAAGTGACACGCAATAATGATGTTTTGTTCGCCCAATTCTCCCCAATAGTGACGAGTAAGCGAAAGGCGGACATGTGGGAAAACATAGCCGAACAGTAAGTCCAATAGTAAGAACAATCTACATTTGTAAATGTACCGATTATATATACAAATCGGAACTAGAACATTTCTGTATGCCATTTAATAAATTGATCGTATTTCTTTTGTGTAGTAGTATATCTTTTTCCTGAAAGCAGGCATTCATTTTTAATTGAAGAGCCTAACACAACATTCGTTATCACCACATTGCCACTTCTCCACTGTTAGTAACACCGCTATATTTACGTTTTAAAGGGTCACTGCTGTCAGCTCGACAAGGCGGAGAGGGCAGATGTCAGGAAGAAGTGGAACGAACTGAAGTAAGTTAAGGATGAGATCTGTATAATGTAAGATTTATACAGGAATGTACTTTTGTTGGTCCCTGCATCAGTATATTTGCAGAGACTGTCCAACACCTTGTCAGTGGATGCCCTGCATGGGCACAAACAGCATATGTTAAACAACATGATGGCATGGCTCGTTGCGTTTACTACCGTCTCCGCCATGTCTGTGGCTTTGACTCTGAGGTCCATCCATGGTACGACCCTGAACATGTCCAGGGTGTCATGGAAAATGATGCTTTTAAACTTCTCTGGAATAGGCCCATATACAGCCTCAGAAGAATTCACGCCAACAAACCTGATCTTGTCCTTTTTGATAAAGCCAATGAATTTATTTACATTATTGAATTTTCTGTCCCTTTTGACAGCAATGTGATTGTCAAGATTCAGGAAAAGCATGATAAATATGCGGACCTCGTCTTTAGAATGTCTCGCTTGCATCCCAAGTACACTGTCGTCAGGCTCCCCATTGTTCTCAGTGCCCTTGGTTTGGTACCTCCTGATCTCTTGGCGCAGATCAGGAGAGTACCCGGGTTCTCCACCGGGAGCACAGCCCTTCTGACAATCTGGGTAATGCAGAAGGCTGCAGTGTTTGGGAGTCTTCATATTCTCCTTAAAGTTCTTGCTGGGTTCGACGAGGCAGTGTTTCCAGGGAGAAGTCCCATTCGTGGTCTGGGCTGCGTGTAGAGGGGGCGAGGGCCCTGAGCTGATGATGAGCCTTACCAGCCTGACTATGCCAGGATCACCCAAACCCTCTCTGCTGCATACTATCTTTAATCTGTAAAACATAATAATAACAAAAATTTATATAGCGCTAAATCCAACCACTAAGTGGGTGCTCAAAGATCGAGTGATTAATATTCTAAGTTTTTGTCTGAGAAACGTGATGCCATAAAATGTTGTTTAATCCATGTTTCCTTAAAAATACATAGGTTTGAATTTTAAAAAAAATACATTTATGCAAACATGCTCACAATGTCTTGAGAATTCTTTTAAACTTTAATTCGCACAGTAAAAAAATAAAGTTCAACCAACTACACCTTTTCCAGACATTACCAATAGTTTATATATCGAATTTAACATGAAACATAACAGCCTGATTTGTTTATATATAAGGCACCAAATCATTTTGAAACAAACCAGCCATACATTTGAC